TTTCTCAACTATACAAATGCGCAAACCTCCATGAATCATGTTGAATATTTTGGAACTTTTGTGTTTTCTATGCATAGTCTTTCATTAATTCATATTTATATATTCACTGATTCCACAAGCAAGTACTGAATACATACCATATTCAAGTTCCTATGGCAGGTGTTAGAGACACAGATGGGACAAGTCAGAGCAAGTCCTTGTCACCTCGCTGTGTACAGTCAGATGCTGGAAAGCTATGGCGACCTGGAGCGGGAGGCTCCATTTTGCATATAAAATGCCCATAAGATTTCTCTGGACAGATAGCAAATGAGCATTAAGTGAACTGAATAAAAAGGAGGTCAAGACATGCAAGTGGAGGGTGGAAGAACCTCTCGAGAAAATGTAAAAACCTAAAGACAGAGATCATTAGATATATTCTTTTAAAGATTTATTTGTTTATGCATACAGAACTAGGGTACAGGACAGAGGTGCAGGGGCGATGAGAGGATTCACCAGAGACAGAGTGGGGAGCAGAACAGGCAGATCCACGAAGTACACTGCTGAGGGGAGCAGCAGATAGATGAGGAGAGGTCTGCCGTGCCATGTGGATCAGCTCCCGGGGCAGGGATTGAACTCGTGCTGAAGTGGCTTTAGCTTCTTAGTGCTGTGCTTTAACCTGCAGCGCCACCAGGGAGGGCCCTGATTTGATATTTTTGGGAGCAACAAGAAGTGACTGTTGGAAAGGCAGAGGCTAATAATGAAAATGGTGAGCAATCCAGAAACAGAAAGGTCACGTGTCATCCTTCTCAATGAGAAGATCCTTAGATGTTATGGTAACTTTGATGAGAGGACTTGAGGGTAGAAGAATTGAGCATATTGCTAAAATGAGATGACTTGATTATAAATTATCTTCCTAGTTCTTCTATGGAAAGTACCATAAAAATTGACTGAAAAAGAGAGTAAAAGCAGAGTTCTTAGGACTAATAAGGAACTCTTCATGTATTAGATAAATAAGAAAATACGGGAGTTTGCAGTAGATGATCATTTCTAACTCACTTTAAGCATAACATTTTCAAAAGGTTTATTCTGAAAACAGAATGCCTTTACCCCTAAAAAGTGATATGAATTGTAATATTTTTGGCAACATGATGAAAGAGACTATCATTTTGAGCCCACTTAAATTAGTTTACACAGACATTCTCTCTTCATTCTGAATTGACTTAATAATTTATCTGGTTGATATTGACACTATGGCAATATAGTTTTACTGTAATCATACCCCAAATGTCAGAAGCCTCAAAGATATATAAAAATAATACTCTAGCAAAGGGGAGGAATAAAGGAATAAGAACTTTCTGAGGGGAAATAAGTCCATCTAAATGATGGTGAAATATAACAAGAAAATTAACAGGTGATAAATGAAACAGATCACTTAAGATAAACAATTTTAGAACTTAGAAAGGAAGTAACAGACCACAAGGTTTCTATTTCCTGAATGAAAGTAACTGCTTATCAAGTGATACCTTAACAAGAATAATCGTTAGTCCTCAAAGAAGTAGTGAATGATAAAACTCTGACAGCCAATGTATATCTTCCTTAGTAAGATGTTCCCAGACTGGGATGAGATCTATGAACTTAGAGATATTAAGTTCTTATTCAACAACAAATCCTCTAACCCCAAACAACGTGAGATTCACAGTAGAGAGTCAACAAATAGTAGTTATTAAGTATGTGGATATGTGCATGAATAAGATGCCAGGGAAATAGTATGCTCCAGATCATTTCCAGCTCAAAGACTGGAATCCTTAAGTTTTAGTTCTTTACTTAGCTCTGCTGTCACCAAAACCATTCGTTTTCTACAAATCTAAGGGAGGATGCCTCCAAATCTGGGAAAATCCCACTTGGCTCTTCAGACACCTGAAGTTGTAAGAAAGCACATGTCAGACAACAGGGAAAACCCACAGCTCACCACAACAACACATTACAAAATGGTCTGGTCCATTGAAGTATAACTTAAAGTGAAGCATAAGATAAACTACAGGAGTAGTTGAGTAATTCAGTGCCAAGAGGAAGAGGGTGGAGACAGCAGAGCTGAATATAAGTACTGAGGTATCTCAGAGACTTCAAGACCAACTTTCACTGCGGAGTGACTTAACCTGGGATTAACGAGAGAATCTTGACTAGAACAAAATGGATTCTGAAGATAGCTCCACTAGGGAGCATCAGGGGAGAGGACGGCAAAGTAAGTCAGACTTTTTCTTATATGCTGATAATATCTCTATCTTTCTATATGGTGTGTAACTGTACTTGGGGGAGAAAATGAGACTTGGTCTTTTGAAAAAATTGGCTTTAGATCTACTTCAGTCAGGATAAAGGAGAGCATGAAAAGAAGTAAATATGTCTCTATCGAGAAGCCAAAATACCTGAGGTTTGTAAGGAGGCCACTAGGTGCATTTTAGGAGATCTTTTAAATATCTATTTGTTTAGTTTCTAACACCTCAATTTTTCACAAGGAATGAGAAATTCCCTCACTGACCCAGCTCGCTGGGGTTCATTTATCCCTATCCACCTGTGCACACTTCAGGAATCATTGCCACTCTTTATAAAAATTCTGTTCTTTGCACCAACTACATCCTCGATTTCTCTGTGACTCCTCTTGGCTCTGACAGCCACCTCCAGCTGCTGAAATGGAGGTTTCCAGTCAGAGAGGATAGCCACCTAGCCATCTAAACATCTGAACATTTACAGTTCCAGTGGCAAATTATTAGGAAATTGTCTTAAAATAATTTTTGAAAGGATCCTCCTTGGTGGTACAATGGGTTAAAGCACAGCACTATGAAGCTTGCTGCAGCCACTGCAGCAGGAGTTCGAACCCCACCCAGGGAGGTGAGCCACCTGGTATGGCAGACCTCTCCTGATCTGCCCACTGCTTCCCTCAGCAGCATATTTCAGTCAATCAGCTTGTTCTGCTCCCCACTCTGTCTCTGGTGAATCCTCTCATCTCCCTTACCTCTGACCTATAGCCCAGTTCTGTACATATATTTTTTAAAAATTGCTATCATTTTTAATTGCAACCCCATGTTTATTGCTGCTTTATTTACAATTGGAAAAACATGGCAGCAGCCCAAATGCTCAAAAGTAGATGACTGGATTAAAAAGATGTGGTACATATATTCAATGGAATATTACTCAGCAACCAAAAAAGAGAAACACATGTCTTTTGCAGCAACTTGGATGGAGCTGGAAAAGATCATGCTTAGTGAGATAAGCCAGAAAGAGAAAGAAAAATACCGGATGGTTTCACTCATAGCAGGAGTATAATGAACCAGGCGAGAAGATAACAAGAATAATGAACAGCCATATACCAGAGACATTTTGTGGGGGTGGAGTGGGGAATGGGATCAAAAACGGGGGAGGGAAGTGCACAGGACAATGGTGATGGCACACCGGTGACTTGGTGATGGGAAACCCACTGGGATTACAATTGAGATGAAAAAAAATGTACAAAATGATGTAAAAATAAATTATTATATTACAAAGAAAAAAATTGCTATCACTTCAAAAAAAATTTTTTTTTAAATGCCACCTTCTGCTTCTACATTCACCCTTCCAATCATTGGCTTCAATTCCAGGTAAAGCATACATTTCTTCCTTTCTGTTGTTATTTTCCATCAAAATATCTTCATAGCTATGTACCTTTTCTTCTCTTGTATCCATCTCTTCTGGCCATAGAACTGCCCTATAAATTGTTCCTCTGAGACCTCCTTGATTTTTTTCATGTATCCTCTTTCCTTCAAATTACTGAAGTGCTCCCAAAACACCCCCCTCAGGAACTAATTTACTTTTAGCAGCTATCCAGTAACAAGGGATGTGTTTTGTTTTTCACTTCTGTTTTGTTTCTGAGGTAATGTTGGTTTACCTAGTTGTTTGTCTTAGCACTCACTATAGGATCCTCCACTTCAGGGCTGTTACCATGGTGATCCCATCACCAAAGCACCTAGAATCCTCCACTATGGTCTATTCACTCACACCTCACTGTGTTCTGCCTCTTCCCCCTCAACTTTCAAGTTTTCTAGTTTGGCTTTAGCTGAGTCTTTGGTTTCTCTGTATTCCACCTAGAAGCTACACCCTCCAGTGTTTCTCTTTCATCTGGCTTATTTCATTTAACATAATCCTAAAGGGATGTGTTTTGAACAGCAGAACAGAAACAATGTAGAGGACAGAGTTGTTTTTCTGAATGTGTGTCTATCAGATGGTTTTGCTTTTAGAAAACTGTCAAGCTGTGTGTCTTTCACTTAGGGGCAAAACAGCAAATGTGGGTAACAAACAGAAGCCACATAAAACATCTGGTAACCAAGTGAACAAAATTTTATGATCCAGTTGAATTTCCAAAAGAAAAAAAAATACAATAATAAATCTACAGTAAACAGAGACTGTTGTGGAAAGAACTGAAGGCACGCAGTCTTACTGTCCTAAGGTCACCCCAGTTTTCTCTTTCTGGTTGGACTCAGCGGCCATGGATTTGCTTCACTTGTTTGAACAATCATTGGGCATCCTCGCTGGCTGATTCAATACGTTAAAGTGATTTATTTTCAAGCTCCACTAAAGGACATGGTCTGTAGTCACTGCGGAAGCGAGCTCTGGGGAAGTGTTTGTAACCTAGGTGATAAATCAAAGAGTAACACTAACCCTCAAGAATGGATGTAAAATGCCATCTGAAATCACTTTCACAGTTCACTCTCTGGATGAGCCAATGGAGAGAAGAAGGCTCTGGGAACCCTGAGTGACTTGGCTGAGTTGGTACTGGCCAACGGCCCAGAGTCACTGCTGCAGTGGGTCTAGGAGCATGGTTTCTCTCGTGTGGCAAGAAGTGAAACTAGACAAAGGGCTTTTAGCATGCTACCCAGGGCTGCTTCCTGAGGCCATAGTCTGCTCGTGAGAAAACGGAAGACTGGCTTTGAGAAGTTGAGAAAAACAGAACTAGAGAGGAGGGAAATGAAGGCTACTCTTGTAAAATCAGAATGCAGATAGGTACTGGAAAGAAACAATCCCTAGAAGAAGCAAAAGATGATGTTGACATCCAGTACTTGGAGAGTAAACAGCATCTCTTTGCCTAGTTTAACTTTATGTAAACATCTGAAGGGAAATAAATAAATGAATTTCAAGAAATGTTCTGTATAGGCATTCTTTTAATGATTAAAGCTACCCAGACTGAAAAACAGAACTATTTGGCATTTAATGTCATCCAAGTAACCATGTTCCATTTCACTATTTCAAGATCATAATAAGGAAACCTACGTTTCTAGTGAGGCCAAAATTTTAAATCCTGATAGCTCATTCTGGAAAAACTCAAGTGCAACGTTCATCACAAAACACCATTCTTTGCTTTCTCAATTATTCATTTATATCCTAGAAAGATATCCTTCCTTTTTTAACATATTCATATTCTAAATCTTTCCACTAAAAATATTTGCTGGTGGTAAAATTCATTTTTTTAATTTTTTAAAAAGATTTATTTATTTATGCACACAGAACTGGGGTACAGGCCAGAGGTGCAGGGGCCATGAGAGGATTCACCAGAGACAGAGTGGGGAGCAGGACAGACAGATGGATGGTGGCTGAGGGGAGCAGCAGGCGAGACAGGAGAGGCCCGCTGCACCATGTGGGTCACCTCCAGGGCTGGGGATTGAACTTGCACTGGACCGGCTGTGCCTACTTGCAGTGCTGAGTCCTAAACCATTGAGCCACCAGGGAGAGCTCCATTTTTTACTTTTATTCAGTATTATATAAACCATAAATGAAAATAGCCAACTTCTACCCAATATTTTGTCCATAATACTGTTATGTTCCCTTCTCCTGGGAATCCAAGGATATCATTGTTCACTCACATGTCATTTCTTATTAGGTATAACCTACTTACAATGCAGATTAATGTTATACCCACTACTCTAACCAACATTTGAAATTTTCCATCACTCTCAAAGGTTGAACTGTGTTCTTTTTCCTGTTAAACTGCCTTGCCTACACACACAAAGCAATCGGTTTTCTGATTTCTATCACCATAGCTTAGTTTGACTCTTATAAGTAGAAATATGTTGTATATAATTTTGTCTGCATTTTCATCATGCAGCATTTTTGAGATTCGTCCTTTACCCTATCATAATGTATCCATTTTCCTATTGATGAATATTTGTTTTAATTCCACAGTTGGGCTCTTAATAATAAAGTCGCCACAAGAGTTTTATAGGATATTCTTTTTATGTCTTCTAGGATAATCAGGTATTTAATATATGTTGTTAAAACAAAATTATAATAGTCTTGGATTTTTTATAGCTACTAACCACATGGATTGGAGAAATTTTTATGATCTCATTACTATGTTTGGGTTATTTGGGGACAAAAAAAGACTGACCAAACTCAATCAAAATGTGGCAATGAACATAGAAATTCCCTATAAAAAATGGGTAGACATGTAGCTATTTTTTCATTGACAAGTCTCAAGAGAGCATCAGCTTTCTGTTCCACTGCTCTCGCTTGCCTAAATTCATGTTCCATTTTCTCTCTGCAGGTAGCACCACCAACCCTTATTCTGTAGCACCCCACGAAGGGTCCCTGCAAGTGCCTATCCCATGTGCTGTGTTGACTGTGGTCATCATCACTGTCTTAGTCATGGCTCTCATCGCTTTATCAGGTGGGTCTGCACTTCATGAATTCATTCAGTCTCTTGCCCAGCTGAAATCAGTGGGTATTACTTATTTTAGCCAAATAAAAATGCTCATTTTTTCAGGATGAGCCATATATCATACTGGCCAATTTACTGATAGATACTAAACATAATTTCATGTTCCTTGAGTGATTAGTGCATTCTGTGTGTGTTTTCTAGAGGTTTTTTTTTAAAATAAGTATTAGAATTCTTAAAACTGTTTTATAGATTATTGCAGAGGAAATTACATCTGAGCAGATGTTTAAATCTGGAATGAAAAAGAGCTGGCTTTGATTCCAAATAATAGTCAATTAATATTCATTGGTAATGGAAAATATCTATCTCAGCCATACGTTAATTAGGAATTGGTTGGTCTTTTATCTCATAAGCCATACAATAGTAGTTATGGATAGTTAAGAATAGATCTAGAAGTTCTCAAAAAGTCAGCTTACATTTGGTATTCAAAACACACACCCACACTGAGATACATCTGTGTCTTTTACAAACATGAAATTTTTGTGGTTCTATGAAACATCCCCAAGCATAAGTCTCTTGCTAAAATTAATTACTTCTGCAAAAATTCCTGTCTCTTCTGTCACCCAATATAGTGTTATATCTATTTCATCTTCAAATCCCTCCACCTCTACATTCAGATTCAAACCTAATTTGGAACTTATAATGCAATTATCCTTTGTAGTCCAATAACTGGAGCTTTCTATTTTCCTACCATTCTCTGACATTATTGCCAGAGAGAAGACCCTTCTACACCTGTTTGCTATACCCTGTTCAGTGACAATTAGGCACAATGGATCAGAGGAGACAAGAGCTTCCTTCTTTTCTTCTCACAATTCTTAACTCTCATCTTCCACTTCATCGCTAGCTCAGCACAGCATCCCCTAAACAAGTTTGCAACTGTTGGCATTTAGTTTCTTCTGATACTAAAGTCAACCATTTTTTGGTTCACAGTGGGCAAGTACAATTGTCCAGGCCAATATATGCCTTTGGCACCCTCAAACAGTCATATTTCTTCATGTTCGGCAAACTGGATCAAATACGAGAAGACATGCTACTCCATTTCAACTGAGCAAAGAAACTGGACTTCATCCTACAATGAATGTTCCCAGCATGGTGCTACACTTGCTATCATTGACTCTGAAGAGAAAATGGTAAGATACTGTTCAAAACCAAATTCATAAAGTCTCACTATTCTATCTTATATAGCTAATCTGTGGTTTTATCTACTTCCTTCTCTGTGATGACATGGTATCTATCGCCCACCTAGGAAAATTTAGTCACAGAAAACGAGGCAATAAGTCTAAGATCAAAATGATAGTTCAGGCCCTCCCTGGTGGTGCAGCGGGTTAAAGCACAGCACTAAGAAGCTAAAGCCATTTCCGCATGGGTTCAATTCCCGCCTGCCCCAGAGGAGATCCACATGGCGAGGCAGACCTCTCCTGACCTGCCCACTGCTCCCCTCAGCAGTGTACTTCATCGATCTGCCTGTTCTGTACCCCACTCTGTCTCTGGTGAAGCCTCTCACCCTCCGCATCTCTGGCCTGTATCCCAGTTCCATATGAATAAATAAATCTTTAAAAAAAATGATAGTTCAATTCAGTCTTGTAAATTTGACTTGATTGCTTAGCTTCAAAGGCAGAGAGAGAATTGGGCCACCCTCTATAGAACAAATGATCAGCTTAACTAGTAAGCCTATAATCACAACTTTGAGAAACAAGACTCACTATGTTTTTTTTTGAGAAATAAGACTATGTATTTACCTTAAGTGATTATTTAACCTACATCTCCTCTGTGCTTTCTTCAGAACTTCTTTAAACAATCTGTGAATATGGGTACAATCAAATACTGGATTGGACAGAGAAACGAAACAGAACAGTCTTGGAAATCTTCAAATGCCAAAGAACTGGATAACTGGTAAGTTTTAGCAAGTTTCTTCATGCTTCCTAGACTGGTAATTCAGGAAAACCAATTGCAGTATGAAGGCTGAATGAGCAAAGTCCTTTGTGTATTTATACTCCAGAATTCTTTCAAGGATGATTTTAGTCTTATCTTTCCAGTTTATCTGCTTGGAACTTACATGATAAATGCTTTTAGTAATTTTATCTGAGCAAATTCTAGTGTGAGTAATAAACTCAGAAACAGTCTAGGAATAATTATACTGATGCAAAAATATAATATGTTCAGCTTTAGATATTTTACTGATGAGCTAGTTCTGGAAACAGTTCCATCTTATTCATTCCCAGTTCTCATCTCCACAGGGATTTAAAAAAAAAAAAGTTTTCAATACCTAATATGAAGCTTTTGAGGACCTGAGATTTCAAGACTTTATTTGCATTACTTGCAATTAAAATACATTTTAAAGCTGTAAATCATTTCCTAAGTTTAGTCTTCACCTCTGCCATCTGGAGACTCAGAGCTGAATATAGTTCTGGTTATGTAAATAATTTTATCATAATGACATATCAAGGATAGCTTCCAATTTTTAGAAAAGCAGTTCTTAATGCATGTGTTCATGGAACCAGGCCCACAAATGGATCTGAAGGGTCGTAGATGCCCTTGATGTTTGCATCAGGATATAGCAGAGTCAAATGTGTACACTTTCTGGGAAGTGTTTCCCAAAGGGTTTCTGAACTCAACCAAGTGAAAGGAGTTTTGTGTCTTCACCTTGCCATTCCTTTCCACTGTTGCCTGCCAATGAGTTTATGATTATTGGCTGGAAAACTTGCCTTCTTCATTGCTCCTAAACCAGTGAATAAGCAAACTTAACTAGACTCCACCACCATCATACCACCACAGTGTGGTCTCATGCTACTGAACGGACATGATGGACTGAAAATAATTCTGCTTCTCCACTGGCAGGTTCAACCTTACAGGATCTGAGTACTGCCCATTTCTGAACAGCACAGAGATCAGCAGCACAAAATGTGGAAAGATGTTAAAATGGATATGCAGCAAGCCCTCCAGATAACGAGGACACATGTCTGCTCATAAACTGTCCTGTCGAGGAAGCTCAGGGAATCTGTGTCCATGAAAGCTGCTCAATGATCCGAAGTTTCCATAAAGACTTTGTGAAATAGAAACAACTCTGTGTTATTTTAGATCTTCCTCCAAGCAAGATTGTGGAGAAAGAGGAGAGAAATTTAGGAATATCTGCACTATGGAATACCCAGCCATGAGCTACAAATGTCAACGGCTGACTGAGTTATGTTTAGGGATGAGAAGAACAACTCTAAACCTTGCGTATGCACTTTATATTTTTTTAAAGTTCAGAAATAATAAATAGGTTTAGAGTTATTATTTATTACTGAATGACTATCAACCATGAATGTTCTTCAAGCATTTGCACTATTTGAAGAGTCAGAAGGCAGTATTAAAAACTGAATGTATATAAAGGGAATTTTAGCTGGTGACAAACATTTCGTCTAGATACATTTTTGAAACTCAGACATTGATAAGTGGACAAAAGCTTATGGAAATAAGCTTTTAGAGAAGCTTTTAGAGAAGTGTGCCAAGTTACTTTGTCTTATTTTTTCTGATTATGTATTTATGTTTGTGTATGTGTACATATATAATGGTTAGAGAGATAAGGACAGAAGCAAAGAATTTGAGGAATATTTGTAAAACAGATAAAGCATTGACAAATATGTCATGCATGATTTGGCAAATCCCTACCAGGAAAATTTCTGTTTTGTTCAGACATGAAAGAATACCAGTCTTACCTGATTTTATATCTGTGCCTCTCCTTAATGAATTCTATCTTGTGCAATACTTCATGCAAAGTATTTTCTAAGTGCAATAAAGTGTTTGTATCAGTACAACTGTAAGCTGATCTTATGCATGTTAAAATAAAATTTAAATTAAAAAAAGAGTATCCAAGAAGTGCTGCTTCCTTCAAAATACACTAACAATTATGTATCATATCAGAAAGTAGAAAAAGAATACTGTAACTTTTTAAAGTGTATCTATCGTAAAATCTTAGCTTTATAACATGGTCTATACTTTTTGAATAGTTTTTGTATAGTGTTTCTATCTCTCTATATGTATCAGAGGCTCAGTAGGTATTACAATTAGAGAGACACTTATGTCATTTACCAATACTTTGTTCCTTCCGTTCTTTTATTGTCTATCACGTTCATACTCAAGGGACAGAGAAATTGGGGGCTGACTGAAGTCCTACTTCTAAGCTTGCCCGCCAATAAAAGGATCGCTGGTTCTCATAAGTAAAGCTTCACTAGCTTCTTGTTCAATTCTGAAATATCCACCTATGTTAGTATCTACATAAAATAATGGATTCACTAGAAATGTTGAGGTGCTATGTGATCTTCAAGAAATATCTCAACTAGGGGTAATCTGATGACCTTTGAAGTGGCTTTATGAATATATTCTGTAGTAGCCACCATCTCTGGCAGGTGGAAATGCAGGATACAAGTGTTGTCTTCAAACTTCCTCACTGGTACCACATGACGAAAAACAAAGATTCCAGGTACAACTTAGGGGCACACCTAGAGAGGTTCCTTAGTCTTCCTCCCTCCCCACAACTGTAAAATGAAACTAGTGTCCTGAAAGTTACCATTTATCACACCATAAATCACCTGTCATTATGACAACAATCTACTCCTAGGTCCTCCTCAAAAACAAGGCCCCATGACTTGTGTGCTGTAAAAGCAGTAGGTGAAGCTGCCAGAGCTGGGCACCTGGGAGGTATGGAGTCTCGTCTCTGCCACCCACTGTTTTAGTTAGAAATAGTTGAAAATGTAATTAAAACCAACGAGGAATTCAATTAGCTTAAAAAACTTGAAAATGAACTTAGAATAGTATCCAACTCAAAGTGAATCCCAAAGATATATTAGTAAATGCCAACGCTGCTGAAAATAGGGCACTCTAGAACACTCTGTCATTACTTTTGACATAATATCTCCAGTATTCGCACAGATTGGCATTTCCACGGAATAGGTCCACTACTACCAAGCATATCTTATTTCTGTTTTCTTGTTAGGACCTATAAAAAAATTCAATGACTGACTTTTCCCCAATTATGTTTATTGAGGTAATGTTGGTTTTATGGATTATAGGTTCATACCTCCACCAAAGCCTCCATCATCCTCTACCCCATGCTCCACGGGGTCCCCTCCCCCACTCTCAGCTCCTATCCCACCACACCCCACCCCACCCCACCCCATTATTAAGCTGCTACTACTGTTAAGAGTTAAAACACTAAGCAAATTTAAATTGGTAACTGGCTTTGTGGAAAACAAATAATAAAATCATAAAATAATTATATTTTATGGGGGTTCTGAACCTAAGGGGAAGTGGAGGGTGCTGTGGAACTATATTACAAACATTCTAGTTGCTCCTGTATTCAAACTTTTAATGTTAAATCAGTAGGCTATATTCACCTAGGATAATTATGCTACTGCGTGTTGAAGATAACAATCAGTTATCCGTGCTTTATTTTGCTTTTTCAACATAATTTCAATATCTTCCTCTGGCAAACTAAAAGTATGTCGGGGCCCTCCCTGGTGACGTAACACTAGGAAGGGAGACACAGCCACTGCAGCATGAGTTCATCCCCAGCCAGGGGGGGGACCCACATGGCGTGGCAGACCTATCTTGACCTGCCTGCTGCTCCCCTCAGCAGCTGCCTGTTCTGCTCCCCACTCTGTCTCTGGTGAATCCTCTCATGGCCCCTGCACTTCAGTCCTGTACCCCAGTTCTGTATGCATAAGTAAATATTTTAAAAGAAAAAAATAAATGACCTTTTTAAAAAAATCTTGAAGAGGGCAAAATTCCAGTAAAATGGTTAGGTTGTTAGGTCATTCAGTCAGTATTCAAAAGTTTTATATTATTAATATAGAAATAATCTTTCTAAACTTATTCTTAGTTTTTATAAATCTTACTGTCTTTTCATAAATGGAAATGTATCATAACTTTAAGTTAAATGCTAATAAAATGTTGGAATATGTGACCAGAAAGATTGCTGGTGACTGTATAAATTGATTTCATTGATCTTTGGGAAACAGTTTGGAAAAACGTATCCAAAAAATCTAAACAGTTCTTATTGGCTTTGGTGTGACTGTTTTGGGCAGACCTTTAAAAGAATGATCTTGGGTGCACAAAACATTATTGTAGAGATAAATCAAAAGCTACTCAATGCTTCCAAAATAAAGATTTAATTGATGAATATTTTTCTACTATATAAAATATTTGAACACTAAAATACAGTAAAGGAGATACACAAACTATTATTACTAAACAAGTCAAAATAATACACATGATGAGCTAAAACAAGATTCTAGCCTGTTAAATATATGTGTGTGTGCATGGTTGTGTCCCTATGTGCTGAAAGGCAAAGAAACTACAAAGGAAGGCATAATAGCTTTCCCTGATGTTGTAAGAATATAGATTGTATTTATTTTCTTCTGTTTCTCTAGTTTCAGAATATTTTATAATGAAAGTTATTTTACTCAATAAAAAAATTTTTAAATTATTCTAAGTAAAGAGTCATTAACAGGTACAATGTCATTATTTAAAGCACCTCTATAACCTAGTATGCAGTTACAAATATTAAAATGAATTTTCTTCAAGAATCCAGCCTTCACTAAATTCCCCTGCTTCACCCTGTGGGCGCCTATGTTGCGGTGCCATCTAGTGGTTGTATGAAATCACTGCACTTTTGTGTCCTTTGGTGTAGTTTTGTTATTTCTTGGTCCAACAGATATAGATATATGTGACCTGACAATTGGCAAGCTTTTATTTTATTTTGAAACACTGTGTTATGGGAAATATGATGAGGTTTCTCTATTTTATGATGGATATGTTGCCTCTATTTTCTGTCCCACAATACAGACCAAGGAAATGATTTTTACCCCAATATATCTTATTATTATGTTTTGGTACATTTTTTCCAGCCCTATTAAAATAGAATTCGTATACAAAAATGCACATAATCTTGTATGCAATTTGATGAATATGGACATGTGTACACATGCGTGTTACCATCACCACAGTCTGCAATTTTGGAAATCCAGAAAATCTCTCTTCAGCCTCCTCACTGAATTAACAGTGACTTTATCTCTAGGCCAACTCCCTGGGATATTTTCCAGTTATTTCTAGTTAGTTGCTTAATTTACCCAAAACAAATTCATTAACAAAAGCACCTTCCAGCGGAGGGTGCCAGTGAACAAAGGTGATAGAAACTGGCCTGTATTGTCTCCACACCAGGTGGCTGAACTCACCACATGAGCCAACACAATTTTGTGTTCTTTTTCCCTTCCTTCTCAGAGTTTTGTAGACAAAATACATATTGCCATACAATGCCACAGTCCACAGAAGCTTATTACATAAATATGAATGATGCTCAGCAGTTTATATTTCCATTTCTGAATTTATATTTATTTATATTATCATTTATCTATTGCTTGTTACCATTTTTCCTTCCTATAAAAAAATTGCAATTGAAACAAAAAATCCTCTTCTTACTAACATTTGTGAGTTTATTCATTTATCAGCTGCACATTTTCTATTAATATAAACCATTTCTTTCAAAGTTCTCTAAGAAGAAAACTGATTTATCTTTCTGGACTTAACTGACTCATGACTTTCTCAGATAAAAAGATATCTTAATATTAGCGCTGAAATATATTTAGTTTAATCAATTTTCAGGATATGCTTGTTGTTAAGAAGAGTAAACAAGAGTGGTGGAATCTGAATTTATTGGAACATACAAGTGAAAACCACACTAGAAACCTATGCAATTCATGCCCCCTCTATTGAGAGCCGGATTTCAATCCAGTGTGGTGTAGACAGTGACCTCTTCGTTCAGCATTTTGTCTGAATCTGAGGGGTTGCGGCTGCTCCCTACATCTGGTGTTCCTGTGTTCCTTAAAGTTTTCTTTATCTCCTTCCATCAAGCCACTCTTATTCAAGGCATTTTCAAATAATTTTTCTTGTCCATGCAGACCTCCACCG